ATATATATATATATATATATATGAATTCATTCATATGAAAACTGAATGAGCTCTCAAGAAAAACATTGAGCATTGATATGAATAAGCTTTTCAACATAAGATAACTGAATGAGCTCTCAAGAAAAACATTGAGCATTGATATGAATAAGCTTTTCAAAGTAACTGACAGTGACTGCTACTGGAAATGAATATGACTTTCATGGGAGAGAAGACTTCTACTCACCTGGGCGGAGTTTGTATAACCACACTTGTCACTGATTATTCTTTTTGTTTGTTTACTTAGTAAATACTTAAGAATGGATCTTATTGAAAAGATTTCAACAACTTTTTCATACAAGTGGTGACTTCTTTGGTTTATAAAGAAAAACTTTCAGTAGGGATACAATGAAAAGTGGGAGGAGGACAAGGAGAGGATGTGGGTTGGATATTATCTTCTGTGCAGTGTAGCATTTGCTCTAGATGTCTAAAGAGATAGTGTTATCAATCTCACATTGTTAGTAATCATATCTCCGTGCTCTGATTAATGTGGGTGTAAAATGTGTCTGATGTAGCAGCATGTGTCTGAAACATTCTAAGACAAGAAGAGTCAAAAAGCATTTTAACTTAAAAAATGAACTTAAGGCTAAAAAAGATAATTTAATTTAATAGACAAAATACTATATTATTGCATTAGAAGAAAATTCATGAAAATATATATGTTATAGACTTAATAGTATATGTAGAGCTAGTATGTTTTTAAAGCATTAAATCTTGGGCTACAACTGTTCTATTTTCAAATCATCACAATGAGGTTAAAATGAAACCTAAGAGTCTGCTACTGTACCTAGTATATTTTTAAAAAAATGATAATTTCTCTTCTCCATTCCTCTATTTGAATAGTCAGACATATGTCAAAGCTCTTATAAGGAAGCTAATTTATTAGCTAATGGAAAATTATTGTTGATTAGCTAGTGAATTATTTCAAGAGTACCTTTAATTGAAAAACTAGGGACTAAAAGTAATCTGAAGACAAGTTCTGAATGGGTAAATGTGAATAATATTTAATAAAATTTACCCGTTTCTTGTTACAAAATTGACCACTTAGTGTGATTAGGGCACTGTGAAGGTGCAGTGATCATAATTTGGTCTGAAATACTATATATATGTTTTATGCACTATTCATAATTATCGGGTTGTTGGAAAAGTTATACATTTTTACAAAAAAAAATGGATAAAAAAATTTATGACTTCTCAGGTAACCCTATAGTATAATATAATCTTTCTAAGTTATAAACTTGGTGGTTTTAGAATCATTGCTGATATTTTTACATGCAATTAAGATGGACAATACATAGAACTAGAATAGGACTTCTTTGCTGTAAAATAGAATAAAGAGGTGTGTGTGGTGGTGGAAAGAAAGAGAGAGGAATAGAAAATTAGAAATGATGGAAGTATATCTGATTTTGAAAATCAAAAATAGAACCTTGAAAAGTTCATAAAGTTTTGTTCAGTCTCTAAATCATATCTTCCTCTCCAATGCAGACTATCTCAATATTTCTGTGTCGCATTCAGTGGCCAGAAGTCCATGCCTGAGTGATAAAGCTGCTCTGGTGGAGATAAGTTTACTTCATCTCTAGTGGGGTTCCGGTGAGAAGCAAGAAAGGAGGATAAAGGTTTATAGCATTATGATTCTTGGTATCTTGATGAACAGTGCCTTGGTTAAAGTGGTTCAAATTCACATGTGTAGGAAAGAGGGGAATCCTTTGTTCATGGACTAAAACAATAAGAAAAGAGGAGTGTCCTATTTTGGGGTTTCCCTGTACAGTTCATCTTTTTCAGAAAGGAATCTCCTTTATTAAAGTCATTTTTTTCAGAAAAGCTTAATCATATTTTTCCTTGCTTTATGTGTTTTTCTGTCTTTTGTAGGAGAAGAGAAGACAATGAGGAGAACAGAAACCAGGGAGGAAGGAATGCTAAAAAGAGGGGAGGGAAAAAATATGGGGATAAGAAACAGTCAAGAAGAGTCTCCATAGGCCTGGAAATCAAGATTCCTTCATAGGTCTGTTTTTGAGTCTTAGACCTGGCACTTTGCTTTCTCACTTTTTCTCTCTCTCTCTTCCTGTCTGGTGAGCACATGTGCCCTTCAGCAAGTTAAAAAAATAATAATGATAAATAAAATTAAAATAAACAATTCTTTAAAAAATAGAATCTGGTTATTAACAGGCATGAAGCATAAAAATGGGCTTCTCATTAAAAATTCAAATGTCAGTCCCTCCTATGTGCAACTAAAAGAACCCCCTTCTTGTCTCCTTTGAACAGCTGTATTGGCTCTGGAAAAAAAAATGAAAAAAAGTCTAGTTTCTGGCAGGAGAGGTAAGTTATAATGGAGATACCTAGAAAGGGGAGAAAATAGAAAAGGGAGAGAAGATGAATGCTTCTGCTGGGTGTGCTGCCTAAGATTCTCCTCATATGCTTGGGGCAGTTGCAGAATTGAGCTTGTATTTTGTCTTGCCCTCAATGCTCCTCTCCTAGAGTTGAAAATATGTTGAGTTCACACCAGAAACTGCATCCTCATAGAACCCACTTTACCTCCTCTTTTCTTCTTTTTGTTTACTGTACCTCCTTCTTCCCTCCTAACACTCTTCCATGAGTGGGCAGAGAGGGAATTTGCTGTGGCAGCTCTCATCTTGATTCTTCCTCCCTTTGACCTCTGGGTTCTCATCCTAGGAAAAGCTTTGAGGACCCTGTAGGACTCCTAGCCCTATTTTCTCTCTGTCAGGCACTTACTGTGCCAGGAAAATGAAGGCAGGAAAAGGATTAATGGCATTATTTTGCTGACTCTGTTTTAACTGGACCCTGAACCAAAAGGTAGATAGGAAGACAGTAAAAAAATAAAGGCTGGGCAAATAAACAACTGTTTTGTTTTGAAACAATCTTTACATGACAATTCTTGTATTGGACAAGTAGGATTAGCACTTTATATTGCATAAGCCATCTGTCACTGCACATTTAGTAAATCAAATAGCTGATCTAAAAATCACTATGTGATATGTTATTCTATAAATGATAAGAGCAATATCTATTATTTGATCTTGCAGAAATTAGAAATATAGGATCAGAAAAGTCAATATCCTGGTGAGTTGCTGCACCCTAAAAATCTATCACTATGTCACTACCGGAAAAATCTCTTCAACTTCTTTTATCAAGTTAGTTCATGACTCCATTTATTTAAATCTTTCCCAATTTCAAATATTTTCTGTCTTCCTACACACTTCTAAACTGACATTCCTGAAAATTTTTAATTGGGCTTTCAAAGTCCATTCCTCATTTTTTACCATCCGTCAACAAAAGTACAACATGATTAATTTGTTATGTTACTTGTCTTCTTTGGGTCTGATTCCTTTCTCTCAATTTGCTGATTTCTTTCAGTTTAACCTGCTCAACAATAGTTCTACATCTTGGCTCAAATCTGCTAACTTCAATTCAGCCATCCTTGAATGTAGTCCAATTGATATTTCTCTCCTCCAGCCTTGAATAATTCTTAAAAGACTGCATAGTCTGGTTTTTAATTACATATGCCACTCACTCACTCTTTTTTTTTTTTTTTTAATTTTAGCAATAGGGCACATGCACTCAAAGGAGAGAGGGAAAGTAAGAAATTACATTCTAAGGAGAATGACCGTGCTGCAATCCCTTTTTCTCCATTATCCTCTTGGGACTTGGGGTACACAAGCACCTGCACCTGGTGTGTTTTTAGGCCACTGGGTCCAGGACTTGAACCACAGAGTTGGCCATGTGGTGACTTAACCACCACATCATCTGCTAGACCCACTCACTCTTAAATAGCATAGCATGTGAAAGGGCCTTATGGTCTAAAAATCATAACAGTGTTTGGTTTATATAGTAGTCATCTAGTAATTATCCATTCATTTATTCATTTGTTCTATATTATTATTGTATATTGATTATTTTCTCCCCAACAAAGTGGCAGGTAATGGAAGAAAGTGATCATTTCGTTTCCTCTTTTATATGTCCCAAACAGAGCCTGGTTCCCTGGATTCCACTAGTAGGTAATCAATAAGTACCAACTGAATGATTGACTAATGCACTTTGCATTTGGATTCCAAGTACAGAAACCCTTGAGGATGCCCTGGTCCTCTAAATGATTTGAAACTGACCTCTACTACATGGTGGGAAGTTCACTGATCCTTTGCAGATGGGAAAGTTGAAATACAGAGAGGATTAAATACTCTCAAAGTCAAGCAAGAGATTAATAGTAGCTACAAGCTAGAATTGAGGGGGAAAGCATCCTGACTGCTAGTTCTGACTACTAGTTCAATTTAGAGTCATTGAATGATGCTTTGTTTCTGATATAGGTAGCTTTTGTCTACCTAGTAATTTCTGATGTAAGGCTATAGCATGTTGCTATATGAGTCTGCTTCTTTTTTTGTTTTGTTTTATTTTGTTTGTTTTTTAGTGACTCTTATAGATAAAAATCTATCTAGTCGCCTATCATGGTGGTTGCTATTGGTTTCTTAGTTGGCCTTGCAAGCCAGAAACTATGCCTTATGTGTCCTTACATTTTTGGTGTCTAGTACAGTACCTAGCACATAATAGATGCTTAATAAGTATTTGTTAAAGGGATGAATATTTTCAGATAAAATTATCTTTTTACAACAATTGAACAATCCTCTTCATATCATACAGGGGAGTTAAACATATAAACTGTCCTATTTAATTCGTAGGAACCTATTCTTAATGTCAAATCATAATTCTTTTGTCTAGTTATTATCCTTTAGGGATTAAATAAGAAACTGAGCCCACTATAGCATCATTTTTTATTTGATTTGTAAACCATAGGCTAAACAAGGCTTTAATTTCCACACGTAAGAGTGTAACACTTACATATGTAAGGAAAGAAAGAAATTTCTTCCAACTGAAATAAGAGGTAATTTAAGGAGACATAATTATTGACCCCAAGTTAGGAAAAAAAAAGTTTTAAACTTGACTCATCTGTGCCTTATGAATTTCATAACTGAAGATTAGCTTCTCTTAATCAGTTCAACATCCATTTAAGGGACAAATTGATTAGCTCCTTACATAATTAACAGAACATTAAGTACTATCACTTTGAGTTGAAAAATCGTTTTGATAACAGCACATATGCATAGTTTAACAGTAAGATACTAAATGGTGTTATCTCAATCATAATCTTTTTTTCCCAAAAAATGTCAAGGGGATATAGGTATTTGCAGCTAGCTCAGTGACCAATGTTTATTATTCCTAAAGTGTTTTCATTTTTTCTGGCTGGTATTAAATTTAATTTTTTTCCACAGAGAATGAGAGCATGATATAATGTATAAATAAAAACCAACATTATTGTGCATAATTTGTACTAACTCTTTACTTAGTGAAATAATAAACAACACTGTTTTGAGGAATAGGACAAAGAAAACAATTAAATATTAAATGTTCACAAATCATTTAAAAAAGAATTGGTGAGGAAATAGATAAAAAGAGTGTAAAATGGAGAGAATGGTTGTTAAAGGTATCAGGAGCCATAGGGGACAAGATTAATGAACCTGTAGAATTACAGTTAAATAATGTGTACATATAAAAGAGTAAAAGCAAATAAGACATTAGAGAAATGAAAGATGCAAGAGTTTCTTTCTGCTAAAGCCAGGTCCAAGGAGATTTTCAAATGGTGAAGAACAACTGGGAAATGGAGCTTACAATCCACAGGGGGTCAGCAAAGTTGTTTAAAGATGTGCTATGACAGTACAGTCCATAGAAAATTGCATTAAATTACACAAATACATAATTAGAGCTAGAATTCAGAATGTTAGGCAGCAGTATTCTGAACCAGATGGTAGTTGATTCTGACTACACCTTGGGCACGGAGGACCTAATTAGTCTTTGTAAGAAAGAGTGCAGGTGTCAGTCAATTCTGGAGTTAGTGCTGAGTAGGACAGGTTAATGGAGACACTGGAATATTTGAAATTGATGAGGCCTGAGGCAAATTTCAGACACTATTTGAAGAAGTTTAGGAACTTAGAGAACATGCAGGAACTTTGGTTTAGGCCTGTTTCTTAAAGTCTCCAAATATATGCTGTATGTTTATCTTTTCAATCCTTTATCTTAAATCACCAGACCCAGTAAGGATTAATTCAGAAAAGGATTGGTTTGTAGGCTCCATCAATAGGATAATTAACTACTAATCTAAAGTGATCAGGCTATTTTAGTATTACTACATGCTACCCATTCACCAAGGAATGCTTGGGTGTGACAATGTAAAACTAACCTAAATGGTAGCAGAGGCCACATAATTCCTAAAAAATAGTCAAATAATTTGACTTCCACTAGACCAACTTCTCAACAGCTAGTGTTTATAAGAGTTGCCTGACTAATAAGTAGAAAATAGAGTCTGAGGATTGTCCTCAGTTTGGGGTAGGAACTGGAATCCATACTTTTAATAAATATTGATAGATGATCCATAGACTATCCTTTCAAAACTACACACAAGTCAAGAGTTCCTCAAGAGTAAAGAAAGTTATTTTTAACAATTGCTTTAGGACCAAATGTGATGATGATTGGCAATAGTTAATAATGATTAATTTAGTGAATTGACAAATACATGGGTGAACTTTATATCCCATGATTGTCTCCCACTTTTGTTTATTCTCACTTAATACCAATGTATTTTCAGATTCTGTAATGTTCGCAGAATCTAAAAGTATATGTACATCATACTTCTGAGGTTTTAAATTATTTTCTGGGAATACAATTACATGTTATAGGTTCTTCACACCAAACAGTTTCTTATAAAGTCTTGAATTAAGTAAAAAATTCATTTTGGCAACTTTCAAAGCTCACTGAGGAGAAGAGAGATTGGCTTAAAGCACTAGGGAGTTTTATTTTTGCACATAAATATTTATATGTGTAAGGGGTGTGTGGTTAATTATAAGCAACGGGAGGAGAATGACAGATGCTTAGATCCTCTGTCCCCATGGAGAGACAGACCTTGCTTGTTGGAGTGTAGTGGCACATCGTGTGGTCTGTGTATTGAATCACTGATTTAAATATTGCAGCAGCTGGAGTGCAAAGTGTATCAGCAAATACTACAGGAGGAAGGGTGTGTGTGTCCTGAATGCAAAGCAGAATGAAATAGGTTTGCATAGTCACACTGAGTAAGGCTGTGGATGGTGCTTTTCTTTTTATATTTCTGTTTCAAAGAATAAGAGAAGGGTAACTTGGATGTCCAGGGAACACAGGGTAGACACAGGCCATATAGTTGAGTAGAATCAGTAGAGGATCTAGTGTTCCTAAATCCTAAGTTCTCTCCCCTGCAAAATGAGGGAGAGAGGGAGAGAAGTAAAGATAGAGGGGGTGAGAGGTAAAGAGAGAGGAGAGAGAGAGAGAGAGAACTCTCATCCAGCCAGGAATAACCTACTGAGAGAATTCATCTCCATAATGAAAGCACTAAACTGAACTAGTCCCTACTTCAGTACTCGTAAGGGGAAAATCTGTTTCTAGCTTCATGCTGCTCTCCTTACTCTTACTCCCCCTTTTGTTGTTGTTGTAATTGTCCTTTCCCTTTATACTTCCCAAAGTCAGAAATGACAGAAAAGCTGGAGGAATGAGGCTGGGGGTGGAAGGTGAAAAAAAAAAAAAAGGTTAACACTGATGCATAGAACCTTTCTACTTAGAGATATGATGTTGAAAGGAGTGGACAAAAATAAAGAGCAGCTTTAGAAGAAGTGTGAATTCAAACAGTAAATAAACATAGTTCATACTTGAGACAATGAAATAACTAAAAACGTTAACTCCTTTCCTCAACATCTGTAGTTGTCTTCTCCAACCTGTACTGATGATTTTACATCATTTGCTGAACGTCTTGGAGAAACCCCTTAACTAAAAGTGTTCCCAGAGAATCCATGATATCACAAGAAGAGCCACCTAAATCTCAACCTGAAAATGCCCTTGAAGGTCATCAGAAATTATTGCCTGGAGTCATTTAATATACCAATTCCTTCTAAGTCTAAGTCACAGCTCATCATGCATGTTGATGCCAGTGAGTTTTGTAATGTTCATGTGGAAACAGCAGGGAACATTGATCTGGATTCCACTTTGCCTCATGCCTCATCAACCAGATGGTTGGCTGTATCAAAGCCAGTAACATTGATGTCAGAGGCGAGAGAACACAGCTGGATTTTCAGGTTCAAGGGGAAAGAGGGAAGCTATAATGCTAAAAGTTTGGGAGGAAATTGCCTTTGGAATAGTGGATAGAGCCAACTAGAACTGATAGAGAGTTTTTAATGTTAAGTCCTGCAGCAACATTTCTGTGTAATTGCTTTCTAGACCATAGTAGAATTTGAATCCTCTTTATCTCACACCTGCTAACAGGCCTACTGATGCCAGTCAGCTAGCTATTGTGTTTCAGATCTAGAGGAGATTTTAGTATTGACTTAAGACTCCCACCAACTCTCAACAACTACTATGTATGTATCTTCACTGTTACCCTTGAGATTTTGGGTGACTAGCTTGAAACCAGAAAGTACAAGGATAGACAATGGCTTAGGAAACCAGCTCCTAGGAACTTGCTGATGGAGATTTTATCTTTATGAATATATCAATATAATTTTGCACTTTTATTAAAATGTGAGAAACTTAATACACATCTTTGCTTTCTGGCTTGGACATGCTAGGGCTAGCAGGAAATCTAAATGCAGGCATGTGGTACAGGGGAGGGTGGATGGGCTCTTTCTTTACCAGGATTATATAAGGTAGGAAACTTGAAGAAAGGGCCTTAGGTGTTTAGTCTATCTTAATTGCTGTTAAAATGTTTACTGTTCAAGCCTATGTGATCCATTTGAACATGAACACTCCCCTGTACCATATCTGGTCATTTCTCCAAAGGCCGTGGGACCTGGTACCCATGTGTTGGCATATCAGTGGTCTTACCACTTCTGGGCCCCTGCATGAGGGTGGGATCCAAGTCTTAAATACTTATCTGGAAACTAAAATCCACACCCCACCCCCATCCCCAGGATCTTGAGAAACCTCCCATGCTATAAAAATTCTCTCTCTCATTCCAGAGTTCAGGTCATTAATTCCTTGTTTTCCAAGCACCAGCTTCTTCCCAAAGATCTGGGTAAGGTTGGGGTAGTGGAAGGGGTAACTGCCTTAGGAGCTCTTCTGAAAAACAAAGGAGCAACTATAATAGTTCCCATAAAACAAAGGAAACTGATCACAGGGGCATGATTACTCTTCTTGAAAGGGAGGTATTATGAGGAAAACTTCCTTTTCATCCTTTATATTCTCCTACTGCAGCAAGAACAAGGCAAAATTAATATCTCAATTAATCATCCTGCCACAGAGAAGTAGGTGACTCGTAGGTTACTGAGGTTCAGTGAAGACTTGTGGGATATGTACACACTATCTATGATTGAATCAAGTTTGGCAATGTAGAATTAGAGAACGATTGAGCAATGATTTGCAGATGAGTGTTTGATCCAGGCAGATTCAGGCAATATTTCACTGAGGCAATATATGTGGTATTTGGTCTTGGGAGAATTTCATATCCAGAGAGAGAGAGGGTTATTCAGACCTAAATGTGCAAGAACAATAAACAGTATTCCTGTTGCCAGCAGCGCCTGCATATAAGTGTGCATAAAATGCTTAAGTAGTAATCCCTCTGTGATGCTGCAAAGAAGACATTTTCTCCCATAGCTGCTGCAGCAAAAGGGGTGCTGTGGATTTTAACCCCTAAGAATTAACCTATGTAAATGAGTTCTGGGTGGCAGGGAAGATTTTTTCAAAAAGCACTCAGCCCAGAAGTAGCTCTTTTCTTGCCAACATTCTGGGTGATTTATACAACTGTTCCCATTGAAGAGTGCAGAGAGGAATTTGCAGTAGAACATGATTGTAAAGCTGAAGACTAAGATGTCCCCTGAAGTTGTGATAATTGCACAGAATCAGAGTGAAAAGATCAGAGAAAGACAAAGACATTTATTTTAGCAATAATAGTGCAGTGATGAGATAAACAACACTTCAATTGCAAAGTGCTTATTATTGTCTGTTACTGTAAATAGTAACTACCATATTCTTATTGTACTTATGATATATTACAACAAAATGAAGGAAAAAAGAATAAATGTGTATTAGTTACTGTTTTGATAAATACCTATAATAGACAGCAAATATGTCTACTAATTTGTCCCCACACTATATCCATACCACTGGTAGTGACTTTGTACACTAACTCTGAGCTAGGTCATATTATTTGCATTTTAGTAGATGTGAACATAACAAATATAATACAGGCACATTCGAAAGTGATTGAGTAATGGCATTGCACTGTTGCTCTCCCATTTCCTTCATCCCCTAGTCTCTGGAACCACTATTCTCTCTGCCTCTATGAATAACTATGTGAACAAATCCAGGCTACTCTGTGGGAAGATGAGGGACACATGGTCCACTTGCCCCCATCATCACAGCCAACAATAAACAGACCTCCGAAGGTTGAATCAATTGACTTATCAGCAACTGACTGTAGATGTGTCAGTAAGCTGCACAGAGACCAGTAGGAGAACTTTCCAGCGCAGCCCAGCTCAAAATTATGACTTACCGAACTTTGAACTAAATAAATGGTTCTTATTTTAAACCACTAAGTTTTGGAATATTTTGCTATACAGATTTGTTACTCAGCAATAAGTAATATTAGGTAATTTGAATAGAAGACTTACTGCTGAGTGAAGCATGCCATGCTATGAAGGAGAGGCATTGTATGTTCCCACTTAATATGTACCAAGTGTCTGCACTCTATGACTGAAACTAATTGTCTAAAGGATATAGAAATGCAATATATAGATGTAAATACCAGATATAGTGTGTGTGAAAGAGGAGGGTCTGAGGAAGGACATTTGGGGGAGGGACAGGGAGGCAAAGCATTAATAGCACAAAGAAGTATGGTGTAATCTGTTGAAGATATTTTGTAGTTTTAGCAACAGTACTAGGGAGAAATGCTCACCTGTTGAAATATCCATTTTAAATTTTTAAAAAATTTAAAAATGTAGAGTTAAAAAAATAATTATTTTAGCTTTCCTACATAGAATCTCTTTTCTACTCTTGGGGGAAAAAAAACCACAGAGAACTTGAGATAGTGATCTCTATTCAGAAACTGTTTTACTGATTGATTGCCTTTTTTGGTTTAGCATTTCAAATGTTTATTTAAAATAAGTATATTATGTGGCTTTCAATTTACATTAATGTAGAAATATTACTTTGGGGAAAATAGAGACTCCAAGTTTAAAAAATAAAACAAATAGAAACAAAATTAGTAGTGCAGTTTTAGAGAACTTAATAAAAAGTAACTGTAAAAAATAAAAAGTCATGATGCATTTTTCTATTAAAAAATGTGTCATGACTTTTCTGATAACCTAATCAATATCGTTCTTTACACAAATAAAACCTCCTGTAAAAAAAGTATTTTTTCGGGACCAGCAGTTAGCATAATGGCTATGTCACTGGACTCCCATGTAGTCAACCACGGTTCGAGTCCCGGACCCAGTGGCTTAAACTCACGCCAGACGTGTGTGCGTGTGTGCCCAAGATCCTGAGAGGAGAATGCAAGAGAAGGGATTGCAGCGTGGCCATCCCCTCTGGGGGGTGATTTCTCGCTTTCTATCTCTCTGTCTCTATTTGTCTGGCAAGCACATGCGCCCTATAGCAAAAACTTCTCAAAAAAGAAAAAGTATTTTTTCACTTTGATTTTACAGATGAGGAAGAAGAGGCAAAGAGGGAATGAAAACATGGACCAGTTTCACACAGATTGTGAAGGGTAGCACAGAGATCGAGGCAGCCTGCTCCCAGCATCCACGAACTTAACTGCTATGCATGATCAAACACTAATTTAGGACTTAGCTGTTTATTAAGCCAACAAGAAAAAAGCCTGTCTTCAAAAAAATGTTTATTTTCTTTTAAAAAATATCTTTGTTATGATAATTATTATATAGGCATGATTGATATGCAAATAGCTGTACATATTTAATATATACAACTTAATGAGTTTGGAGTTGAGACAGAAATATAAATCTATGAAGTCATTATCACAATCTATGCCATAAACATGTCCATTATGTTCAAATAATTCCTCCCGCCTTCCTTATTTATTGTTATTATCTTTATTATTTTGTGGTAAGAACACTTAACATAAGATCTACCTCTTAGCAAATTTTTAAATATTCAATACAGTAGTGTTAACCATAGGCACTATGGTGTACTGATGACTTCACATCATTTGCTGAACTTCTTGGAGAAACCACTTGACTGAAAGTATTCCCCGAATATCTCTAGGGGTTCTTCATCTTTCATAACTGAGACTTTGTGCCCTTGATTAATATTAGGTCTTCGAGAAAGTCATGATGTATTTTTCTATGTTTTTCTATGCAAGAATGCATCATGACTTTCCGGATGACCTAGTACCTTACTGTTCCCTTCGTCCCCTAGCCCCTGGTACTGCCATTCTTCTCTCTGCCTCTATGAATTTGACTATTTTAGATTCATCATGTAAGGTGTATCATGTAGTATTTCTCCTTCTGTGTCTGGCTTCTTTCACTTAGTGTAATATTCTCCAGGTTCATTCATGTTGTTGCATGTGACTGGATTACCTTTTTTTCCCCTTAGTTGAATAATAGTCCATAATAAGAGTTCCATATATTGCTTTCAATTAATCCTTTCACTTTTCTCGAAAATGTCTCATATTAAAAAAACAACCCTAGTGGCATAGTGGTTAAGTTGGCTGGATTACACCTGGCCAACTGCACAATTTGCCTGGACAGGTGGCTTGAAAAACATGCCAGGAGTCTGTGCATTGCGTAACCAAAATCCAGACAGGAGAGAGAAATGGAGGAGAAGGGATTGTGTTGTGACCATTCCCCTTGGTGGGGGTTGGAGGGTGGGAGGAATGGTATTCTTATTTTGTATCTCTCTCTCTTTTTAATTTGCTAGAGGGCAACCTTGCTCACCAGAGAGAGAGAGAGAGAAAGAAAATGAGAATGCATCCCCCTCAGAGGGAATGACCATCACACGGTCCCTTCTCTACCATTCTCATCTTGAAATCTTGGGTACACATGCACGTTTACAGCATGTTTTTCAAGCAATCGAGTTTGTGACTTGAACTTCACATCCAGTCGTATGGTATCCAGTACTTTAACTACCATACCAGCTAGCTGGCCCTCACTTTCTCTCTTTTTCTCTCTCTCTCACACATCCTCTAGTCAGATTTAAAAAGACAAAACAAAGCTGAAAAAACAATACCGTTGGGAACCTCTGGCCATTATGGAACAGCAAGGATCCTATTCACTCACCTTTTTAAAATAACTGTCAAACAGGTAAAGCAGTAGTTTTCAGGCATTACAACAGGAGGCATGTGGCAGTGATCCCTGAGATGAAAAAAAATAAATGAGATAAGCCTTGCAATTCTAACAACTTATTACCAGAGAGAGTGTCTAGGCAGCTGCACAGAGAAGGGGAACCCAAATAGAGAGGAAGAGTTATCCTTTATTGAAAAGACTAAGTTTTGGTCTTCTAGGCAGACCAAGATGGCAAGAATTTACAGGACAAAATATGGGAGAGATGAGAGCTACAGAGTGAGAACTCTAATTACCTGCAAAAGGAACCTTTATATATTTGATTGAGTAATTATTTGTTCATGCATGTGAGAAAATTTCCTGAGGTCTTAGGAAAAAAACCCTGGAAAGGAGTAGGTAGATTGCATAAGCTTGGGAATAGCTGCTGTTCTCATTAGCTGGAATAGAAAGACCTCTCAATATAAGGACCTAAGGTAGAATCTTCAGAGAGATATTGCCTTTATAGTGGGGTCAAATTAACCCTAGGCTAAAGGTTGCTTAGAACCCACACTAAAAAAGCTTAAGAGCAAAAAGTTGAAATTATAAAACTAATTTCAAATAATTTAACTGCAACTCAGAGCTTATCAATATTAGGTTTGGAAAAGTCATGATGTAATTTTCTGTTTTTCTATGCAAAAATGCACCATGACTTTCCCAGTAATAGTTAAAAGAATACAATAACTCTAATACCCAATAATATTAAATGCAAAATGTCTCACATCCAACAAAAATTACCAGGCATCTGGGCCAGCAGATGGCTTGGAGGCTAAGGTACTGCATCCCTCATGGCCAGCTGTGCAGTTTGAGTCCCAGACCTGGTGTTTTGAAAATCATGCTGGGCATATATGTGTGCATGCTCAACATCCTGAAGAGATTGGAGGAGAAGAATTTTGGCATGACCATCCCTCTCAGGGGTGATGTCAGACCTTTTCTTTCTTTCTCTTTCTCTCTTTCTTCCTTGCTTTCTTTCTTTCTTCTCTCTCTCTCTCTCTCTGGAAAGTGTATGCACCCTATAAAAAACTTTTTTAAAAAAACTACCAGTCAACTGAAGAAGCTGAAAACTATGATCCATAACCAGGAGAAAAATCAATTGAAGCCTATCCAGAAACAACATAGATAATGGAATTATGTTACAGACATTAAAATACCTATTTCATATGTTAAAAAGGAAAGGAAAGCAAACAAATGATGAAAGAAAGGAAAAATATATTAAAAAAACAACAACTGAACTTCTATATATGAAGAATACAATGTCATAAATGAAAAATAAATTTAATGGGATTAGCGAGTAATTAGAACTCTGCAGAATAAAAGATCAGTCAAAGTGTACTGGCTTTATAGCCTACTGGTTAAGGGAGCCAGATCCTGCATGGCTGACTGCAGTTTGAATCCTGACTCTGGTGGTTTATAGAAAGAATAAAGAAAAAAATAAGGAGGGACAGATACATACTTACAGAAATAATAGTTTAAAAAATTCTAAATATGACAAACATTGTAAGTGCATAGATCCAAGAAGTTCAGTGTCTCCCAAGTAGCACTGCTGAAATCTAGTGATGAAGATAAAATCTTAAAGGAGCTATATATAAAAGACGTGTTACATGCAGAGGGATAAAGATATGGGATTAAGATATGAGCTATAGCATATTTCTTGGTAAAAACCATGCAAATAAAAAAAATGGAATAATTATCTTTATAGTATAGGAGAGGGAAAATATGCCAATCTATGATTTTATACCCAACAAGATATCTTTCAAAAACTAAAGGCAATTTTCTGTTTTTCTATGCAAAAATGCACCATGACTTTCCCAGTAATAGTTAAAAGAATACAATAACTCTAATACCCAATAATATTAAATGCAAAATGTCTCACATCCAACAAAAATTACCAGGCATCTGGGCCAGCAGATGGCTTGGAGGCTAAGGTACTGCATCCCTCATGGCCAGCTGTGCAGTTTGAGTCCCAGACCTGGTGTTTTGAAAATCATGCTGGGCATATATGTGTGCATGCTCAACATCCTGAAGAGATTGGAGGAGAAGAATTTTGGCATGACCATCCCTCTCAGGGGTGATGTCAGACCTTTTCTTTCTTTCTCTTTCTCTCTTTCTTCCTTGCTTTCTTTCTTTCTTCTCTCTCTCTCTCTCTCTGGAAAGTGTATGCACCCTATAAAAAACTTTTTTAAAAAAACTACCAGTCAACTGAAGAAGCTGAAAACTATGATCCATAACCAGGAGAAAAATCAATTGAAGCCTATCCAGAAACAACATAGATAATGGAATTATGTTACAGACATTAAAATACCTATTTCATATGTTAAAAAGGAAAGGAAAGCAAACAAATGATGAAAGAAAGGAAAAATATATTAAAAAAACAACAACTGAACTTCTATATATGAAGAATACAATGTCATAAATGAAAAATAAATTTAATGGGATTAGCGAGTAATTAGAACTCTGCAGAATAAAAGATCAGTCAAAGTGTACTGGCTTTATAGCCTACTGGTTAAGGGAGCCAGATCCTGCATGGCTGACTGCAGTTTGAATCCTGACTCTGGTGGTTTATAGAAAGAATAAAGAAAAAAATAAGGAGGGACAGATACATACTTACAGAAATAATAGTTTAAAAAATTCTAAATATGACAAACATTGTAAGTGCATAGATCCAAGAAGTTCAGTGTCTCCCAAGTAGCACTGCTGAAATCTAGTGATGAAGATAAAATCTTAAAGGAGCTATATATAAAAGACGTGTTACATGCAGAGGGATAAAGATATGGGATTAAGATATGAGCTATAGCATATTTCTTGGTAAAAACCATGCAAATAAAAAAAATGGAATAATTATCTTTATAGTATAGGAGAGGGAAAATATGCCAATCTATGATTTTATACCCAACAAGATATCTTTCAAAAACTAAAGGCAAATAAAGACATTTTTCATAAAAACAAAAGCAGAATAAATTCATCGCCAGCAGACTTTACTACCAGAAATGTAAAATAAAGTTAAGCAGAAGGAAAATAATGCTGGAGAAAAACAGATCTCTGTGAAAGAACAAAAAGAATTGGAAATGGCAAACATATGAGTAAATATGAAAGACATTTTTCTCATTAAACACTCCTTAAGTTATTATTTAAAAATAACAACAATGTATTCTAAGATTAATACTATATACAGTAATAAAATATAATACTACAATAGCACAGTGGACAAAGGAGAGAAACTGAAGTATATTGTTAAAATTCTTATACATGAAGAGGTATAATATTATTTGAAGTTAGATGTGATAAATTATAGATGAATGCTTTAAATTTGACGAGTTTAAAAAAGTTTCTACAAACTTAAAAAGAGGGCTTAGTTACGGTAAAAAATAAATAAATAACCACCAGAACTGATTATATATTTGTTTAATCAGTCAACACTTATCTCGTGAACATGTTCTTG